TTTTATTAAATTATAAAAAAGGATTTGGTATAGCCATTTTTGAAAGTGGCAATATCACTTTTGAGATCTTCAACAAGTAAGAGGACCTGTAAAGAGGACCTGTAAAGGACCTGTGCTGGGTGCTGACAGGACATGTCTAGGAGATCCAAGGTTATTCCTCCAGAGTGTGCACCTTGTAGGAGTTCAAGATGCTAAAGATCCAGGAACCAGGCTCTTTTGAGAACTATACTCAGGCCTAGGCTACAAGGACATGTTTGTGTTTGAGAGGCATTAAAAGAGTAATGGAAAGAGCACTAGGCTTTGTGTAGAATCCCCCCACTCAACCACTTATGAGATCTATAAGCTTGAGAAAGTTAACTGACTTCTGAGCATCAGTTTATTAATCTTTAAAATAGACACAAGGCCTGGTGCAGTGGCTCACGCCTGTAATCCCAGCACTTCAGGAAGCAGAGGCGGGCGGATCACGGTGAGGTCAGGAGTTTGAGACCAGCCTAGCCAACATGGCAGAAGCCCATCTCTACTAAAAATACAAAAATTAGCTGGACCTGTGGGTTCATGCCTGGAATCACAGCTACTCAGGAGGCTGAGGTATGAGAACTGCTTGAACCAGGAGGCGGAGGTTGCAGTGAGCCGAGATTGTGCCACTTCACTCCAGCTTGGATGACGGAGTAAGACTCCGTCTCAAAAAGATAGAAGAGAAAATAGATACAATAATATCTACCTCATAAAGTTGTGATGAGTGTTAAACACCACCATTAACACATAGTAAGGGCTCAATAAATATTCCCCTTTCCCAGTGTAACCTCATCTTTTTCAAGAGTAGAAATAGTTCGCCCGGTAAACCCAGAAATAGTAAACCAACAAAAGCATAGTCAGGGACAAAAATGATTCAAAGTGTGTCTGAATCTACTATCACTCTAAACAACACTTCTCTTCAAAACTTTTGACGTAAAACTATCCCTTATAAATACATGATGTCTCCTCTCTATAGAGAAGAGATGTCCTACTTCAGAGAAATGATGCCCTCCTACCACAGAGAAGAGCTTTTAGACGATGTAGGTGTTGTCTTGAGGAATGTAAATAAATAGAGACACATCCTAGAGTAGCTAATTCCATGACTGCACTTCCCAGCAAGACCAGCTTGTTAACTATAAGGAGAGACACACACAAAATATCACTAGCTCTTGAGACTTTGCTCCCCTGACTGTCTTGCATTGTTCTCTTAGATATCTGTTTGGCAGGTAAGATTTTGTCATTCGCACATTACCCAGAATTCATTCATGGAGCTGGCTTACTTTCCCTCCTAACACCTAAATAAAAATTGGTGCACTAAGTGCAGGGCTTGAGCGGGGAAGAGGAGAGAAGGTAGTAAAACACCCAAGGAGAGGAAGAGGCTGTATACACAGCCAGTGTTGTTGTATCAATGGGAGTAGAGTTAGCGTAGGCTCAGATAAGACTCTGGGAGATGAGATCAAGTGCACCTAGTGTTTAGATAATTGCTTCCTTCATCAGCACTTGTTTGACTTTTGCTCCTAGAACCTATATCATTAGCAGAACAGCTATTCTATCAATTACTTATAAATAAGGTAAATTTTTTGGACTAGACAGGATCCTGCCTACCCTTGGAAAATTACTGTATATAATATAAATATTACTGTATATATAATATATACTGTATATAAGTAAGTGTATTTCTAATAACAAACAGCCAACTAGGATATGAATTTGTAAAACCAAGCCTGGTCTTCAACTGTCATTTGCAGAATATCTAAAACTCCTAACAGCTTGATACGTTCAAATTCCAGATGACCAAAATGAGCCCCTTGTGTTTACCATGCACATGTTTTGTTACAATTGAATGTCAAGTGTTTAAATCCATTCAAATGAAGATCAGAAAACACATAATTCAGTCAAATTAATTTGATTGGAAATAAAACAAAATGTTTGTTTATTTATTTATATGTGATAAAGCACTTATCTTTGTGTGACTAGGCTTTTATGTGAGCAAGCAGGAAAAAGACAGACATAACCAAAGTCTTTTATTAATTCCTATAAGTTATGGATGCTGCTGTGTTAAATAATGCACATTGCAAATCAGAATTAAATGCCTAACCCCAGATTGAGTTCCAGGAAGACTGAAAGTTAAATATTTTAAAAACCAAACAAGTAAACATAGAAAGAAAAATGAATTTAAGATGTATCAAACTTGTGAGGGGAGAGGGAAATTAAAACATATAAACTTATGAAGAAATCACCTAATAAAAAAGGTGTGCAGACATTGTTACAAAAATGCAAAATACCGGTACATGTTTAATGCGATAATGTAAGGCAAACAAAGCAGAAAAACTGTTATAGCAAATATTTTATACATAGACAAAGGGTAATTGTCTTTATTATGTAAAAATACTCAACATGTACACACACACACACGTACGTGCCTAGACCCTTAAACGATTAGGATTGAATAGATACTTGGAGAAAATACAATTAGAAAAAATAATCAACATCATTAGATGTTAAGTAAATACAAAACAAAACGAAATATATACTATTTACTCATCACATTAGCAAATTTTGCTTGTTTTAGCAATCTTTTTATGATAATACTCTGCTCCTGGGGGTAGAGGAAATAAAGCCTCATTCACTAGCGGAGCATTAAGCTACCCAGCCAACCCACGCAGAAAGCAATTTCGTAACATGGATTAAGGTAGTCGTATCCTCTGAGTCGTATCCTTTCTCTAAAACTACAATTTAAAAAAAATCCCAGATGTCAAATAGCCTTCATCATGATATTCTTCATAAAAGTGAAAATGCCGAACAACCTAAATGTTCAACAACAGAGCGAGGACTAAGTAAAGCCTGATACAGTGAATGAATCTGGTATCAGGAGACCTAAAAGTGATGCTTATGGTGACCGTATATGGAAAAGTATATTCTGTATGATTTCCACATGTTTAACTATGTTTTGGAACATCCTGCAAAGAGACACACAAAGTGGTTGCCTTTGCTCTGCAGGAGAAGAGGAAACACATAAAAGGGTTAAGAGCCTGGGATCTGTCCGGGCGCGGTGGCTCAAGCCTGTAATCCCAGCACTTTCGGAGGCCGAGACGGGCAGATCACGAGGTCAGGAGATCGAGACCATCCTGGCTAACACGGTGAAACCCCGTCTCTACTAAAAAATACAAAAAACTAGCCGGGCGAGGTGGCGGGCGCCTGTAGTCCCAGCTACTCGCGAGGCTGAGGCAGGAGAATGGCGTGAACCGGGGAGGCGGAGCTTGCAGTGAGCCGAGATGGTGCCACTGCACTCCAGCCTGGGCGACAGAGCGAGACTCCGTCTCAAAAAAAAAAAAAAAAAAAAAAAAAAGAACCTGGGATCTGAGTCCAAACTGTTTTTAAATCCTAGCTCTGCCACTTGAGTATATTTAACTTTGAGCAAGCTTTCAGTTCATTGTGATTAGGTTTCTCCCTCAGTAAGTTTGTGGTAAAATAGTACCCTACTCCTGGGGTTGTTGAAAGGATTAAATTTGCTGCTAACCCAGGTAACGCCCAGCATATAGCAAGAGCTCAGTAAACGTTAGTTATTTGCTATTTACTTCAGTGATACAACCAATATGTGCAGGCTTTTGTCCCACCTTTCTGCGTTTTCCAGTTCAACTTTTCTCTCTTAACCATGTTACTGTTATATTGGAAAAAAGCAATAAGTATTTACCTGAAGGCCCTGAGAGCTGGGTCAGCTGGATTTTTTTTTAGCCACATAAATTAAGATTCTTATTAGAATACCACAGTTTAGAGACAAAGAATGGATACTTTATAGTTGCCGAGACCCAAGAATTGAAATTGGAGTTGCAGTGACAATTCAAATGAACATTGTGTCCCATTTCATAAGAAGTTAAGACAGTTCAGTTTCCGTAAAAGAGTGCTTGCCTCCTCTGGAAAAGCTATGGCAACCCAGTATTATTCCTGTTTCCCCCCACCACCCCACTACCCCCAGCCTTTAGCTCCTAGTTAACCCAGTGCTGGGCATGCTGCTTTCTCTATAACTTACATGAACCTTTTTCAAGAATGGAATCACATGTTTCAGTAACAATAGCAAGGCAAAAACTTTACAAACATTTACAACACTGGCATAAGTAAATTTTCTTTGGCAAGGAAAGTAAATTAGGGAAAGGGGAGAGGGAGTAAATTTACACTTTTGACACCAATACCTTTATTAATTTCTGAACATTTCAGTAGTTATCATGCATAATTTGATTTAAATGTAAATTTCTCATTCTAAAAATATTTTAAAGTTTCAGTTATAGAGGAAAAATTAAGGGGAAAATTGCTTTCTCTTTCCCCTATATTCTCCCACATTTTCAGGGAAAATTTTGGGGAGAAAATCTCTGCTCATTTTGGAGTCTTCTCTTGCCAGCAACTAACAAGTCGGTACAATACAGTTACCAAGGCAATGTCAAGACCATGTAGACAGAGGGAGAAAATGTGGTGTGAAGACAGGGAGATGATGAAAATGGACTAACAATGTAAACATGAGGGGTTTTTCTAACTGGAAAAAAAATAAAATCACTCTATCCTTTAAAAGTGGTTATGTTAGCAATTCTAACATCTGTTGTTATAGAGGAACTTAATTAGAATAAAGCCTTTTTTTTCTATATCACCTGTTCACGAATGCTTATTTGTTTCCTAATTATGCCCCAATCTTTGTAACTCCGTACTAAGCCAGATCAGAATGAGTTCCACTGCATTCAAGTTAGACAAAGGGATTTTTTTACTTGTTGAAACTAGAAAGAGTTTTTTTTCTGTAAGTTCTATTGGACCATGGATTTAGCCAGACCCTCACAGATAATGACTGCAAAGATAGATACATCTGTTGCTCCCAAAGCTGCACAGGTATCTGCTGCTTACATAAATACGACCACCAGCCAAATACTCATTTTGCTAGGGCTGTTCCTTCTGTTTCAAAAAAGACTCAATTTTTCTGGTTTTTTTTCTCCCCTCTTCAGGTACAATCCTTGGATTTACCCTCCGACCATACAGAATGAGCTACCGGGAAGTCAAGTACTTCTCCTTTCCTGGGGAACTTCTGATGAGGATGTTACAGATGCTGGTCTTACCACTTATCATCTCCAGTCTTGTCACAGGTATCATAAGCAGTTGTTGGTTTGTTTGGTTTTTTTTAAGTGTGCTTATTGCAAAAGATTGCTTAGAAAAGCCAATGCTTTAGGTTTCTGCTGGATGCATGCTCTGTTCTAGAAAAAAAAATGATGGAAAGGAGGCTTTAGTAATGCATGAATGATTATAACTCTCGTATTTTACCAATCACAAGAGGAAACGAATTTAAACAGCCACGTAATCTGGTTCGCCTCACCATGAACGAGGTGCTCTGCTAAACACCACACCATCAGCCTTCTCTGACCACAGTGATGTAGTTGACAACAGCGTACAACAGGTCTGTTTTCTCACCCTCTTATCCCACCCAGATAACATCTGGTTGGACAGCCTATTAGCTATTGATGCAAGAATGCTTGTTCTCAGAACCACCAGGACTTGAGCGGGAGCCTTCTTGGAAGCCTCATCAAGAGGTAATGCCCACAACACTCACCAACTCTGCTGCCACCAACACTTATCTTTTCCTGGTGTACCCGCATGATTTCATTTCCTTCTCCAGTTGCCTCCCACCCCCATTACCTTTTATGCTGGTGGGAGAAGGGGGAGGGGGCGGGAGATTTCCCCATCTGAATATTTTATCAGTGGACACTTGGACTTTTAACAAGTGGAAGCTTTGCAGGATAGGATTCTATTTTCTATGATAATGAGATAACCATTTATTCCTGCATGGGAAAAGGTGAAAAAGTCATTTGTCTATGTGATTGGTGAATCATAGGAGCCAAGAAGTTGCAGAAAAATGTTACTGTACATTCCTTCCTGCCCACTCTTCTCTTTCCCCACAGCACATCTCTGACTTGGAGAAGGAATTTCCATAGACACTGCCCCAGCGGGATGATTTCTGGGTTTGTAGGTAAAGCCCAGAACTCAGGTATTACTGACCCTATTCTTTTTTCCACCCTTGGCTCACTGTTCCCCTGTTGGGCATATACCACTCTGCCTCTATGTGAGCTGGCACTGAGAATCCTTCCCGTCCCAGGGAGTTCTCAAGGATATTTATACTCTCCTTTCAAGATCTCTGTGTAATGAGAACTTCATAGTACTCAAAAGTCAAAAGTCATGGAGGAACATTCTATTACATGCCTTGGAGGGCTGGCTATTACTTAGACAGGAACTATGTCAGATTTTCCCTCAATGCCTTGCAGATCTCCGCTGGTTTCCACTTGTCCAGGGCCTTAAACAAGTGATTGCATGTACACGTGCTTTCACTGGAGAATGAATTGCCCATAAAACAGTCCTGGAGTTGATTTGGTGTACTTGTTTGTGAAGCTGGGATGGTCCATTGCTGACCAGGGGTAATCACAGCAGCTACAACTCTTACCACCAAAGCTATATTCATGCTGACATGAGGGCACATGCTTATTTTATTATCCATATGCTGATAATTTTCTGGGAAACAAATTATTCACAGAAAGCACTTGTAAGACAGAACCCACATCTGACATTTTCTGTGGTACAGCAGAGTCTCTCCTCACCGTCCCTGCTGGCAGGACATCTGGATTGAGTGCCTGCAGTTTTCCTGTACACAAACTGAGGGGTTCTGGATCTTCTATACTTTCTCTTCAAGGGTGGAACCAATGTTTAGAGGTTTCTGCTTTCTCTTAACTGTGCTGAAAATCCAATGTGTTACTCTTTAAAAGAGAAAAGCCCTTATCTGATACAATTAGAGAAGTGTTACTTCCCCTTAGTAGCAGTCCCAGTTGACCACCACCTTGAAGTGGAATTTCCTGATTTTTCTTAATACCTAATAACAAACAACTTTATTGAAGAAATAAGAGCTTTGGTTGTGTAATTTTTCAGGGGGAAAAAAAAAAAAACTATGATGCAATCCCTTTGCATGGCTAAAGATACATTTTTGGTCAAAACTTGGAAAAATCATCAACATTTATAATATTGTTAAAGAGAAAGGAATTATAAGCTGCAAACAACTAATATAAAATGAACTTTTAAAAATGTAACCTAATTGCAAGTTGGGAGTGTTGCCAAATTGGACCATTAAGAGAGTTTTAGCTCTTACCCAGAACTGTGTTAAGGCAAAGAGCCTGAGGGGCATAATTTAGTCTGCCAAAGATCTTTTTAAGGTGTTAGTCTGAAGTAATTTCCAAACTACACAGTAATTTAGATATTTATGATCAAATGGAATGAATGATTGTTTCAATAAGAACGTCCTTTACGGTTTTGAATACAATAATTCTAACCCAAATGAGGGTATGACCCAGTTGTAATGGGAAGGGAGGAACTTTTACAAATTACACAGACCCTGAGGATCCCTGTGTATACTGGGAAATGTGTATACTGGAGAATGTGTTGCCTAGGGAAGAAACAAAGTCAGGCTCCATTATTTTAGAGTGGAAAGGCAACCTCAAATGCCTCCAGTGGCCACGTGGGTGATGTATGTCCATGAAGCTGCCCTTTCAGGCTACTCTTTGTTTTCCTATTTTGATAGAGTCATGGATACAGAGAAATATTTCTCTTCAACGAGAGAAGTAAGAGGGGCAAGTATGATGATAACTGGAGAGGGAACCAACTACAGAACAATGTGGCAAAAGGAAGGCAAAGAGACTATTGAGGCAAGGGCCAGATCTTCCCATTTTTCAAGGGTATCCAGAAATCTCAAATTTTTTAAGAACCTGCAGACTTTTTGATATGCTTCACAGAACAAAACACTGCAAAGCAAACACAGTCCATCTACAGGCCCATTCCAACCCTCAGACTACCAATATTGGAACTTAGGTTTGAATGTCAGTGCTATTCATTATGAGAAATGTACTGCTAAACTTGTGTGCCCATGAAGCTATCACAGGATTTCATATGTTGCCTTATCCAATCATTGGCAGTCCTGTGCCAAAGCTTAATTGATAATGTGGAATACGCTACTGAACATCATGTTTACTGCTGACTAAACAAATTGCTATTGGAAAGCCTCTTCTCTCCATCTTCTGGGTATAACAGCATTGTGTAGTAGCCATTCTGGTCTTTTCTGCACCAGAAGGAATAGTAGAGTAAGAACTCAGGTCATGCTCCCATGGGAAATATTTCCCAGTGGGAAAATACTTTATAGACTTGTTGCTTCTAAGTTCAGTTGTCCCAGGGTCTGTAGACAGAAACTGAAATGCATAAAGTTATTATTGTGTTTCTTGGACTAAGCATTTTATTGTGGAAGATTCTAGAAAACATGCTATAAGTTTAATTGTACTAAAGCCACATTTAAAATCTGAGACATCTAAGTTATTCATTTTACTTGAAACATCCGTGTTTACGAGTTGTGGCTCTATAGCCCTTGTAAGCCATGTTCCCTTTTCCCTGAATTTGAAACTCCAATCTTTCCAAACATCCCTAGTGTGTATTAGCATTCCAGAGGCTGCCAGAAAGAAGCTGGGAGGAAGCCTAATGGCTAGATTTCTACTCAAGTACCTATTTTTTGAACAAGAAGACTATGCCTATGCCAACACACCACACAATAAAATAGGGGTTTGGTGCCAGTTTCTATTGATTTGGTCAGGATAGGCAGCCAAACTAGAAATTTCATGCCAGAAATATGAGTTGGTTTGGCTGACTTAGCCTGACTAAATTCACTGGATAATAATTAAATGTCACATCTGGTTGTGCTGTGTAGACATAACTATTACCTCCTCACTTCGGAATCTTTTCAGAAACTAGTGCTTTCTTCTTTTCTCATTCTAAGCGTGCATTCCCCCTCAATCACTTACTTCAGAAGAAATCTTTGGTGTCACCCCAGTTTTCTGGAAGTGGGGAGCACAACTTTTGACAGGCAATCTCTGTGGAGTTGGGCATGATGTAAGTAAAAGAGGTGAGAGAGGAGTGTCAACACAAAAGTAAAAGCAACAGTGTCTGGGACCTATGGTAGGGCACGCTGGAGGCAGGATTATCAAATAGATGAAATTTCTCATTTAACATTCGTTCACTCTTTAACAGCTGTTTATTGTGCTCCTACTATGTCAGACACTGGGGATATGTGAACACAAAGGTATAGTTCCCAAGAAGATGTATGTTGGGTGCTGAGGAGTGAGCTTCCCTACATCCCTTAATTCACACAATGTATGTCAGCAAATTCCCATTCCAATTCCAGCTAAAAGGAGATAAGACTCGTTCTCTGTACTCCCAACAAGAGACAAGTTGATTTTTAAGAACATGATTTCAAATCTGGTTTTCCTGTCACAGCATCTTCATCCTAAAGTCAACTAGCCCAGAATTTTCCATCATAGGTACCGCCTCAGTCTCATTTACTTAATATTTTGTTTAAACCAACATACTCTTCTTCCACAGCCTACAATTGTTACCCAAAATGGAAACCTCCTATTACTTGTCATGTGAAGGAGATAAGTAACAATGTTATGAAATTGTAAACTGATACAATTGCCTAACAAAGGCTCTGGGAGCCTGTGACCCCACTCCCCAACTCTTGTAGTATTGTTAAATGGCCGGGTACTGTGGCTCACACCTGTAATCCCAGCACTTTGGGAGACTAAGTCTGGCAGATCACTTGAGGTCATGTGTTCGAGACCAGCCTGGCCAACATGGTGAAACTCCATCTCTACTAAAAATACAAAAATTAGCTGGGAGTGGTGGCATGCGCCTGTAATCCTAGCTACTCGGGAGTCTGAGGCAGGAGAATCACTTGAACCCAGGAGGCTGAGGTTGCAGTGAGCCAAGATCATCTCACTGTACTCCAGCCTGGGTAACAGAGTGACACTCCATCTCAAAAAAAGAAATATAAATAAATAAATAAATAAAGAGAGGGGATTAGTAAATGTTAACAAGGTATTAAATACACATTAGCACCAAAATAAGCTTTGCCTTTCCTGTAATCCAAAGAATCAAAAGAGAACTGAAAAGAATGACTTCCTCACTGTGATTTTATATTAATTAAGGTAGGGTTTCCACACCACCAGGACACCTATCGCACTTTGGGAAGCACTGATCTGGTCCATCCATTCCTGCAGTGTCCCTTCCA